AAGAAAGCGATTTACATTGATGATAAAGCGGCTGCTGTATTAATTGTGTAATTGGAACGATTTCTAATAAATTGTAGTGTTACGAGTAAAATGTTGCAAGAAAATATATTGAAAAGGAATTGGTTTTATTTTCTTCGATTGGTTTTGGCAAACAGAGCAATTTCGGCGTAAGCTTGTTTTAAGTTTCAACACTTTTGATGACGAAATTCGGCATGAAATTCTCTTTACGTTAATAAATATAGTAATTACTCAATTTTAATCTTTAAAATTACACACACATTTTTTGTCAAGTAGAAACTCGGCATTAGATTAATATCGAACGTACATACTTTTGCGGTTATACTGTATTTATAGACGTACATACATACATGCATAAATATATAGTTATAAAGGTGTATACTTAACATGGCAATATAACCTGTTCTAAAGACAGTTTCACACGATTGGGCATTTTCCCTAAATTCGTAGCAAATCGTATCCGAATCGTGTGAATGCACAAATAATTTTCTTTTAGCTTTGAACAGTAGATTGCTCACTAAAGGCCTATTAGAATATAAAAACTACTACATCAATAAATAAGTTTTCGTGTTTATTAAAACCCAGGATTTTGAAGAAATTCCGAACTTAGAACTTTAGTTTTTATGCTATTGTAAATCGCTGTAAAGGCACCACAATTTTAGATAGGGCCTTTTATTCAACAAAAATTCCTAAATTTGAAGATAGCAATCATAAAAAAAACTAAAAGTCCATTTGAGTATTACATAAACTTGAAAAGTACTATTTCATTCGGAAAAAAGCCCTAAGTAAAATAAATACATAACAAACTCAAAGGAAATGCTTATTTTGTGCTCCGATACTTGGTACATACATAACTTCCAAGATAATTCATTATTGCCAAAATCGGAAAAGTAATTAAAACAGACTCACCTGCAAAAGAAGCAGACGCTTATGATGTTTCAAAAGAATTTCCATAGCTTTTGTTTGTGATGCCACTATACTTGTTATACATACATATATATATAAATAGGTATTATTAACACTTTTCACTTCCAGTTTTTTCTCAAAAAAAAAAAAAAATTAAAGTATTTAATAATAGTATTTACAGCACACACTTCATTCTTAGTTACTACAATTATCAGAAGGTGTGATAATATTTACACTTTGGTATGCAATGCGTAATTAATAGTCGTCTAATTAACAAATTTAAATTGGAGCTGCATATTTTAAAGCTACATTTTTCGCATTTGCCGCTATTTTGTCACAACTCCCAACGAATCGCAAATGAACAGGACTTGATTTCATACAAACTTCATTACTATTGCTAATTTAAAGTTTTTTTATGCAATGCCTGCATTTGAGATAAGTTTTCATACGCTTTAAAGCACACATAAAGAATTTATTTCTTAATACTTTTAAATTGAAAATAAACATGAAAACTTCTACAAAAGCCGATGAACACTTCACATCTCATTTACTGCACTCATCCATCATGTGTGCTTTGGAAAAGTGAAGATATCTTTTTCACTGTTTTCAATTATAATTGCATACATTTATAAGCACTTATGTGCACAAAAACCAAAATAATTCATTATAAAGAATGATAAACTTAAAAAAAAAATCGGAAATCAATGACGACGAGCATTTATTCCTGCTTCACTTTCAATAAAAAACGCCATTTTCACTAATACACTACTCGGCGAAAGGCAGGAACTGTCAAACTTCCGTAATTAGTTACATTGCAAGCGATTGAAACTAACTAATTCATCTTTGCGTGACCACCTGAGTAGAGCTTGAGCACTGCTACTGCAACTAATTCCCACATACATGCATTCAAATGTTTTTATATTGCCAAGTGAATGCTTCTATCGTATTTAATATTTGTGTGTGTGTGTACTTTAAAAATTTGATTGAATGTAGTAAATAAACAAAACAAAAAAAAAGATGGTTTGCAAAAAAGTTCGAGTGTGCGTCGGCCGGGAATCGAACCCGGATCAACTGCTTGGAAGGCAACTATGCTAACCATTACACCACCGACGCACGTACCCGATTTGTGCTCAAATTCATATTAGAGCAGGGTCACATAGAGTTTTTGGAATATTTAACACAGGGTGCTTCATATAATTTTTATTTATTATATATTTCACTAGTACCCCATATACCACACAAAATATATACATACTATGTATATGCATGCCCTCAGCAATCGCCAAAACTATAAATAACATGATTACGCATTTTCTTATTTATACATTTTTAGTACGCTATTTTAAATAATAAGAGAAGCGCAAAAATTGTTCATAAAAAATTTATTCACTGCCGAGTCACTCTGTTCCGAACAAATATTCCTCTACTTCAAATAAACACTTTGCCACCGGGCAAGTACGTGCGTCGGTGGTGTAATGGTCAGCATAGTTGCCTTCCAAGCAGTTGATCCGGGTTCGATTCCCGGCCGACGCACAGTTCATTTTTTTTAATGTAAAGAAGAGAATAAGATATTAATTAAATAAGTTAGTAAAAGCGAATGTTTTTTAATAGCAACGTGTTGCTTTATTGCAGTAGTTCATATAAAACAATAATAATTACATAAATGGTAAAAATTCAAAAAATATTGCAACTGTAATTACAGCCAACCAGCTGCCGCGCCGCCACCAGCCGCACCCTTGCCACCAC